TCGCGGTGGGTCCTGGTCTCGGAACGTCCTGCGTTGGCTCTTCGATACCTCGCACATCGCGCGTTAACCAGAGAATGCCCTTCGTAGGGAGAAAGCCGCGCCGCGCACGTCCAGCGACATTTCACGCGTACATTTCGCAGACGAACGGCTGAAAGAACTTCCGATGATTATTTACGGATCAACGAGGAGGTGAATGTGAAGGGATATTTTAAAATAGATTTTAAAACAACGACATTATCAAGATATATATATCTACTGCGCAATTGCCACATGGAAGAACGATTTTGCTAGAATATCTAAAAGTTTAGCTAATCTGAAAATAATTCCATTGAACTATCAAAATAATTACGTAAGAATCTCAAGCAATGGCCGCGTTCAGCAGAGAAAGCCGCTTTCCAACTGTTGTGAAATTCTTTAACATGATTGATTTATACATTTAGATTTAGTGTGGAATTAAGAGCAGGACCAATCATGTTAAAGAATTGTACAACAATTGTAAAGCTACTTTCTCTGCTAAACGCAGCTAATAAAAAATTCTAGCAACCGATTTCAGTGTCTTACATAATCCCATACAGCAGAAATGTAAATTATATCATAAGAACAACCTAAAGATATTATAAAGTCCATAAGATATCCGTACGATTAAACGTTCAAGATATTTCTGCTGTGTGGATTACCAATAGCCAACAAAATTATTTTTAAGTCTATATAAGTCAAATTTTTAGATACTTTCGCAAAACTGTTCCTTTTGCACGAGCGTTATTCAATTCGACTTTATTTTATATACGAAACATAACGTTAACTTATCCTCGTAAACGAAACGGCTTGCGTAACATCGGCGAATCGTCCGGCGAATAAATCGAGCTGTATGTCGAAAGCTAAATATATCTCACACGGGGTGGGAATAACTACTCGATATCTTCTCGATCGTACTCGTTTACGGCGTGAGAATTTTTGATATATTTCCAACAGAAGGGACGCGACCGTATCAGGCAATTCGTTTAATATTAACGAACACAGGGTTAGATCACAGGGTGGACGCGTAGAATTCATCAAGGTGGATCGGTGATTGTAAGTCACTCTTACCTGTTCCGTCTAATGAGATCCTTAACCCGATTGATTCTTCGCGAGGACACAGCCACACACTCCGCAGTTTCGCGACGTGACGCGCGCAGACACCACTAGAGGCGAGACTACCTCTCCGCGAGGGATGACCACCCCGCGTGCGTCATGCGGAAGGACATCTGTTGCCCCGCGACACCCCTCGGCGAGCGAGACATTCACCCCTCTTTCTCCACCCTTTTCGATCTCTTTCTTTCTTTCGCTCTCTATGTGTCTTTCTTTCTCTCTCGCACTTACAAGGGATCGTTACGCTCATACCACGCACGCGTAATGTACAGGGTGGCGTGTGGAAAAGTGGTCCGGCGCCAATGTCGATGAAACTTGCTACACGAAAAAAAAAAATGGTTGAGTAATTTTTTTCTTACAAGAGTAAAAATATTTTGGACTATTTTTGATGAACTTATGATAAACTTTACTTATCTGTGAAAGTAAAAATACCAGAGGGGGATGCCAGATAGTACATTATAATTATAGTAAATTCATTCAAGTGATCTTACAGTAAAATAAATTATGTTTTATATTCTCACAAGACTGTTAGCACGAATGACTCTCAAAATTTACTTTATGAAATATAAAAAATATCTTACGTCTTACAGTATGGCTATAAGACGATCGCTCAATATTTTTTACCAAAAAGTAAAATAAATTTTATATAATTGTGCGCTTATTTCTATATGGACCTGCCAATTCCATAAAATTTATTAGAATTTTAATGCACATATTACTTTACATTTTTCTTCGTGCGTTGTCAAAAGTATTTTATTACAACGGTTCACTATGTTTCATGAGAATTTAAAAAAAATTTTAATATAATGAATTTAATTAAAGTTATGACAAAATATTCTAGAAATGTGTGATTCTAGTTTCAAAAAAATTGATAGCTAAATGGACGTTTTTTTTTAAATTTTGACTACGGACAAAAATGTAAGCCAATGATATCTTTATCGTAATATTTTATTTTTTTTCTTATTTGATTACTGTGGATTTAAATTGAATAAAGTATAATTAAAGAGAAAATTTAGTTATTCTTTTTAATTTTAAAAATCTTCTCTGAGAAAAGATTAAGAAATTAAAATAAGGGGAAACAACTTTGCGAATTGCGACTTTACTTTAGTCAGTCTAATTTCTAATTTAATTGGTTGTTACGTTCATTAAAATTTACGTCTCCTGGTAAAAAGTTTTGAAAAAAAATTTCTTAAATTTTTTTATACAAGTTGGAACACTTTTCAAAAATACTAAGAAAGTTTACATCTTTTCCAGAATTCTTTACATATGTGAATTCCGAAATACGCAAGATTACTCATTCAATAATTTCCAAAAAACATTTTAAATTCTGAGGAATTTTAAAATATTTTTTTTTAATAATCTTAATAAAGTTAAAGTATAACAAACTTTTGAAAGTATTATACAATATTAGAATTTTTTTACGTCAAAGATCATTTTCATTTTTGCGTGCAATTTACAACATTCAAAATGCAAGCATTCTTGCGTAAGAGGAGCCCTTCCGAGACTCGTTTACATCACTGCTTATTCATGTAGTATCTCTCTCTTTCTCTTATGTCCCTTCCTTGTCCCTCGCCCTTTATCTATCCTACTACCAACCCCTTTATTATTATCATCATCTCTTTCTCTCTAATTATCCCTCTTGCCTCTCTCTTCTCGAGTTTCGCTCTTCGCCCTTTCATCCCCTTATCGCCCTAATTCACACTCCCTTCCTCGTCGTTTTTTTTTCCTTTTCCTTTCGTTACGCTTTCCCTTCCTCCTCTTCACAACGCGATCTACCACAGAGAAAAAAAGAAAATCGTGGAGCTCGTCGTAAATTATACGACAGGGGGATGCATAGGCGAGACGACGACGCTGGCGGCGCCGCCTAAAATGCTCATGCGTCAATCGATCCACGACTTTCACCAAAGGAAGAAATTCTTTGGCGTGTCTCGGTATCTTTATCAATCGTCGAAAGTTCATCCTCCACCCTTGTCGATCTGTTTCCTTTGAAGCCGTAGGATGAAACAATTCAATGCTCATTTCGCGAATAATGAATCACGACTGATTATTTTCCCTTCTTTCTGCACATTGATTTTGAAAATGACATCGTGGACTGTCTGTCACCTTTTTCGATTAATTTAAAATTCTATTTATGAAATAAATAAAAATTTTATAATTATAAAATCAAAAATACAAATATTACATTTGTAAAAAGAAATAATTACTTTTATTAGAGCAACATGTATTTTATATAGACGTTAAAAATCTCTCTCACGTCTGATTTCTCTTTTCTTTTGCAATCTATGTAACGAATGATACAAAATATATATTCCGATTTCACAAGAAGCAGCAGTGTGAGAAAGAATAACTACATTGCTTCAAAAAATTTTATCTTTCTTTGAATAATTAAATGTAATAATGCTTGTGTATGTTTATTGCAGAATAAAAACAGAGCTTCGTATCACTGACAACCTTCATACAACGTCTAGATTATCCAGGGAACCAATACATTACGACTAGTATGTATTATTAGTCTTCAGCGCCATCAGGATAAGAAAGAAAGAAAACATGTTTATTTAGATATATTGGAGAAATTGTGTTATCTAAGGATACCTAAGCTTTAAATTTTCCAAACATTAACACAGTTTAAGTCTGACTGCTTCAGTTTCTAGTTGTTTAAAATTAAATTTAATTAAGCGTATGTTCAGTTTTTTAATCATCATCCGAAAATTGAATTTCGCATAGACATCTTTGTAAGTATTATCTATATTTCGTCAATTATATTTTATCTTAATTGCTTAATCCTCCGAAGCTGACGGTAGATCTATATTAAACGCATTCATAAATCTCTTAGTAAAAAGTGTCAAACAACTGAATTTTCTTTATGTTGTATCCTCGGTTGCCACCTTTCGACTAATATTCTATCGGAGATTGACGGTTCTCCTGTCGAAGATTCCACTATCTCACCGGAGATTGATGACTAGTATCAAAATTGTCAAAATTGAAATTGTCTTGTAATGCCTAAAAAAAAATTAATCAAATTTGGTTCTCCTGTCGGAGATTACAACAGCCTTGTTGGAGATCGTTTGCCATTATCGAAATTTATATTGCTTTTTAATGCGTTTTCTAAAAAAGAGGTTGTCAGGTTTGACTCTCCTGCCGGAAATATTTTTCCAAAAACTGAAGAAAAATTAACGCGTGCACTTAAAAAAGACAAAAAGGTTATCAAAATTTTGAGCGATTAACCTTAGATTTAATAAAAAAACCGGAATCTCTGACTAAAAACCGGAAAGGTGACTACATCTGAAAATTTAAATTTTTTTTCTTATCAAAATATACATAGTATTCATTCGTTTGTACATAAGTTATATTACTTTGATTCTATGAAATTGAATACATAGTGCCTTTTAATTAATATAAATTAAATAAGTCTTACAGATCCAGCGTTAGTAACTGTGTTAGAGATTTTGGCGTCAGCTCCGGAGAGCTTAAGAAGTATTTGCAAAAATACTCAAAAAAGCACGCTACGAAATTCTATGTTAACTATTATTCAATATATTTATATAAGATTTCATCTCAAATAGATGGAAATCGTAAAATCAAAGTGATCTTGCGACTTCTATCTTAAAGCCGGTGACACACGATGCTTGTTTTCTTATTGGATTGCTAGTTGAATTAAATTCTTGTCATCGTATTGGCCGATACGGACACTGTCAGCAGCCAATACAGTGGCAAGATTGATCCAGCTAGCAATCCAGCACGAAACAAGCATCGTGTACTACCGGCTTTACATTGTCACAGTCTTTAGATACGCCAATATATCTCGTAATCATCTTTATTTTTTCCCTAGGTTACTACAATAAAATAGCAGACATGAATAAAGATACTTTATTAAAAACTTGGTTTAGCGAAGTAGTAAACATAGTTTCAAGTAGAAAAAGATCTAAAATAATCGCCGAAATGTGCGATAAATGGGATTATGTACTTATATTTAAAAAAATAAAAGTTAAGAAGGAAACGGAAGAATATCTGGAATTAACACAGAGATTCGAAGCAGCGGTAAATGATGTTCTAGCTGGAAGAGATGAGCAATCGGTCGCTATAAATTATGAACTTGATTTTGAGACATTGTGTGACGAGGTACATCGCTTCAAAAATTCTAAGGCGAAGATGTATGAGTACAATGGAACCGGAAGAATTTTCTCATTCAAGGAGGAAATGCTGTTATTGAAGATCTTGGCGACGATTTCGCAACCCTATTGCACATGTCAAACCTGCACATTAGAACGACTGCCGTATATGGCTTATCATGTAGCCCAAGAGAAAAATAAGATATATCCGCGTGACTGGGATGTAAATCAGCGAGCGGGAAAAGTATGGCAGATGAATTTCGAAATAGAATATGAATATGAGATCTCGAACTCATTTCCGCTTATGTGCAAGTTAACACAAAACATCCGAGCAAAGTAAATGAAAAAAAACGAACGAAAGATATAAAGAAATATTGTCTACCATAAATTTACAAAGTTAATGGACCGTGTAGACAAACTCTGAGTAAACACCAACTAAAAAGTAACATGATGTCAATGTAACATAATATAATTTCACACTCAACAATGTAAGTGTTATGTAACATTAGGGATGGGCAGTATTTGAAGTACATGTATTTAAAATACGTATTTAAATAAATTTTTGTATTTTTATTTCATATTTAAATACTTTTTCTGAGAGTATTTTGTATTTTGCATTTAAATAATTTTTTTATCATTTTGTATTTTAAATTTGTAAATACTAAATACATTTAAATTATGTAAAAATTTTTTTGATGAATATATAATAGTAATAAGGCTCAATAAATTTAAAATATCAAAAAGAAATAGGGCTACGAGCCAAAGGTCAATCTACATGGTCTAAATTAATAGTAAAATAAACATAACAATAAAAACTTTAATATAACTGCCGGCAATAAACAATACAAACGTTTCGATCCCTATCGGATCATTATCAATGTTAGATAAAATACAAAAACAAAAAAATAAAATTAAAAATTAGAACTTCTCTCTCATCTCGCAGTAACACTTCCGCTAACATATTAAAAATATGATACGATGCGAAATCGGTGCGCAATACAGTGTTTCTCCGTTAATGTGTAATAACATATGATTTCTTAAAGTGGATCTTAATCAGAAAAATGCGAAGAAAGTGAAAAATCTTGTCGTTATTAGTTCGTGTATGTATTATATTGTCTTAGTACACGAACTAATAACGACAAGATTTTTCACTTTCTTCGCATTTTTCTGATTAAGATCCATTTTAAGAAATCATATGTTATTACACATTAACGGAGAAACACTGTATTGCCGATTTCGCATTGTACCATATTTTTAATATGTTAGCGGAAGTGTTACTGCGAGATGAAAGAGAAGTTCTAATTTTTAATTTAATTTTTTTGTTTTTGTATTTTATCTAACATTGATAATGATCCGATAGGGATCGAAACGTTTGTATTGTTTATTGCCGGCAGTTATATTAAAGTTTTTATTGTGTTATGTTTATTTTACTATTAATTTAGACCATGTAGATTGACCTTTGGCTCGTAGCCCTATTTCTTTTTGATATTTTTTGATGAAGGTTAAAATCGCACCATTGTTGACTCAACCTAAAATACGTTTCATTTCATGCATGATGGACATAATGTATCATTTATCCTTATTTACATTTGGTAAACAAGGATAAATGATACATCATGCACATCATGCATGAATTGGAATGCATACACTTCTAGCGTTGTCTCAGCATTATTTTCTTATTAAGGCGAAAAAGAATCTTAGGCCCAGTTTCACAACTTACGGTTAAATCTTAACCGAGATTCAATTTGTTTCTCATCTCTTTCCAATTCTAGAATTGGAAAGAGACAATAAATAAGTTGAACCTCGGTTAAGAGTTAACTGTGAGTTGTGGAACTGGGCCTAAGTTATGAAACTGAGCCTAAGGTTCTTTTTTGCCAACCTCGATTAAATTAACTGATGATTACAAGAGTAATAGTAGGCAATAGTATTTGAAATACATGTATTTAAAATAAGATATTTAAATACAATTTTTTGAGTATTTTGTATTTGAATACTTTTTTGAGAGTATTTTGTATTTTAATATAATTTTTTTTAGTATTTTGCCCACCTCTGTGTAACACATATGTTACTCTAAATTTCTTAAAGTATCACTCCAAGATATAGTGAAAATACAAGCACATAATCTTAACAATATAAAATGCAATATATGCTCTAAGACAGTCTAAGAGAGTGAAAATATTTCACTTCTTGAAAAAGAGTAAAAATCGTCACTCTTGTTCAAGAAGTAAAATATTTTTACTCTCTCTCTTTTTTTTTAAAGAGAGAGAGAGAGAGAGAGAGAGAGAGAGTAAAAATATTTTACTTCTTGAACAAGAGTGACGATTTTTACTCTTTTTCAAGAAGTGAAATATTTTCACTCTCTTAGGCTGCGGTCCACTTGACGTTACAAATGCTTCGAAGCATTCTTTGATTAGTCAATTCGTAAAATTCTTTGTTCTCATTGGTCGTTCAAACGCTTCAAAGCGTTTGTAGCATCAAATGGACCGCAGCCTTAGACTGTCTTAGAGCATATATTGCATTTTATATTGTTAAGATTATGTGCTTTCCATTTGATGATATAAGTCAATAACTTTTTGTTACAAAATGGAAAGCACCAAGTGTGAAATTATAATACTGATGTTATTGTTAATAATTAGAGTTTACTGAGCTGAGTATTAATTTCCCAGACTGATTTGATTGTGAACTTAAAAAATAATTAATCAAATGAAAAAAGATAGACAACCATTATTCTTAACCTTAAATTTTCCTGTACATCATAGCTTTAGGGCTAATCATCAAAATTAATCTGTTTCGTGAATTTTCACCATACAAAAGTTGCATTTTATATTATCTAATATAACATCATAAGCAAGATTTTCTACCTACGATATCGAATTCCTGAGTGTACCTATATATCTGTCATTGTAATAAAATGGAAAGTCTAAGAAGTTCATTGTTTATTACAGCCCCTCTAAGAAAGCTCCTTTCAAAATGAACTTACGAATAAGAAGTCCATTCTTTCCGAATTATTGTCCAATTTATCATAAACTGATTTTGTAATAGCCGAAATTTGTGCTCCTCTTTGACTTGACAATGGCTGCGTTCAGCAGACTCAACAGTTTTGCAACCGTTTTATGATTGTCTGCTGAGATAGGACCATTCTTCTAGATCTAAAAGTATGATCCAATTAGCGCAAAGGAAACTTCCAACAGTTGCAAAACAACCGTTCTGCTGAACGCAGCCAATGGTCGCATTCAGCAGACTCAACTGTTACGGAGATACATCTTTATGTGAGCAATTGTTCAGAGACCAATCTAATCTTTAACTCCTCGGAAGTATTATAAATGTTAAAGCGACATCTAGACTAACGTATAGTCATAGGCTGCGTTCAGCAGACTCAACAGTTTTGCAACCGTTTTATGATTGTTTGCTGAGATAGGACCATTCTTCTAGATCTAAAAGTATGATCCAATTAGCGCGAAGGAAACTTCCAACAGTTGCAAAATAAACGTTCTGCTGAACGCAGCCAATGATTGCGTATTCTTTTAAATCATCCAATCAGCATTTTAGATCTGGAAGAATACATCAATAACAGCAAGCGCTCACTCAACTGTTGAGTCCACTGAACATAGCCTATGGGTGCCATCCACAAACGCAGAGCGCTCAGTGAGCTTTTGTATCTGATTGGCATATTCCATTAGAGCTAAAAATATAGACCAATAACAAAAGCTCACTGAGCGGTCGTGCTTCTGGATGCACCCTCTTTGAAGTTGGCGCGCCATCTTGCGGTGCTATCGATGAACTGAAAGTGGCCTGCTAATCATTTGATGGAATTCCTGGCGTCATCTTCTGACGCCTTTAGCGAACTAACTGTGTTCTGTAACGTTCTATAATCACTGAATTATCAGCACCTTCCGAGAGACGAACCTGTCGCGATAACCGGTAGACCTTTCAGTTTCACTGCCGAACTTTTTTCCCCTTTCTATTCCTCCTGCGATTATTGTCGGGATTCGAGGTGTATTTTCATATTTTGAAAGTATGATGCAAGCCAGCTTTTGGAACCTGGTGACCACATCGATCAGGGTAAGTCACGCGTGAATGGATAATTTCGTGCAGAATATATTTTGCTTTCGTAATTTCTCTCGTAGGCATGCACCGTTAATATGATCCTTGTCTTTAATTTATTAAAGAATTGCTGGTTATGCCTGCACAGATCGCTAGACCTATCTGTTAGATTTTTAGAACTCGCTGAAAAACCCTCAGAGTTTCTATATTGTGTGCAAAAATGGCTTCACAGATTGGTTATGTCATTTCTTTCTCTGATTAAGTATACCACTGAATCTGTTCTTTTTAATTTCTGTGTTACACTTTCTACACTCAAAAGAATGAAAATAAAGGTTTAGCTGAATATTAACAGAATGTGATAAACAGAATGATGATAACAGAATGACAAAAATTTTTAAAAACTAAATTTTATTTATATCATATATATGTATATATAAAGAAAATTTTATTGACAATTATATATTTTTTGTTATAATTATATATATATATATATATCTTGTATATAAAGAACTTGTTGCAACAGTGGAGTAATCTACATTTTGTAAAATAGAATAAATCAACTCTAAAATTAAAATAATATTTGTGTTTTCCTATCACTTTAACTTTAGAATTTATTTATTTCATTTTTACGTAATATAAATTAGCCCACTGTGTTACAGTAAGTCCTTTATATACATTAAATATATTTTTTATATATAACATATTTTTTTAATTTTTAAGTTATTAATTTTTTTTGTCAAGTATGCTTATTGGTTATCAATGTCTATATCATTTCTATTTGTTATCAGCCAACATGCATAAAGCGTGTTCTACCAGGCATGACGGCCATCCAACAGCGCAGGTATGCCAGTACATTGGATGCAGATGTAGTGGTAATCGGGGCTGGTCCCGGTGGATATGTAGCAGCGATTAAAGCTGCACAATTGGGTATGAAGACTGTATGTGTGGAAAAGGGCCCAACTTTGGGAGGCACGTGTCTTAATGTTGGATGCATTCCATCAAAATCACTTTTAAACAATTCACATTATTATCACATGGCACATAGTGGAGATTTAGCAAACCGTGGAGTTGTTGGTGAGTAACTGAGTTAGATTCATTTCTACCAATGTAAATTAAGTTTAATCTTGGTTTCATCTCAGTCTAATCTTGATTTATTCTTTAATTTACTCTTAATTTATTTTTCTAATTCTTAGAAAAATAAAGAATGAACTAGAAGAACATGAAAAGTAAGTTAAAATGAGATTAAAGTTAATCTACATTAGAAGAAATAAACATTAGATAAATCGTTTATAGAAAATCAAACTATCATATAATAATGGATTATTCTTTGCAGTATCAAATATTCAATTGGACCTCAACAAGCTTATGGAACAGAAAACAAACGTAGTCAAAGCTTTAACCAGTGGTATAGCAGGCTTGTTTAAAAAGAACAAAGTCGAGTGGGTTAAAGGTCATGGAAAAATCACAGGCAAGAACCAGGTCACTGCTCTAAAATCTGACGGATCGGTGGAATCAACTATCAACGCAAAGAATATTCTGATAGCGACCGGAAGCGAAGTTACGCCTTTCGCCGGCATCGAGATCGACGAGAAACAGGTTGTGTCCTCGACGGGTGCACTGTCGCTCAGTGAAGTCCCCAAGAGACTTATCGTTATTGGAGCTGGTGTCATTGGATTGGAATTAGGCTCAGTTTGGCAGAGGTAAATCGTTAAATTTACAATAGAAATATCCTTTAATATAAAAAAAGATGATCATTCATTCTCGCTAAAATCATTATTTCTATAGACTGGGTTCCGATGTAACGGCCGTTGAATTCATGCCAACGATCGGTGGTATGGGTATCGACGGGGAAGTTAGTAAAACCATGCAGAAGGTACTTGCGAAACAAGGACTGAAGTTTAAACTGGGAACGAAAGTCACGGCTGCTAACAAACGTGGCAACGAGATCGTGGTTACCGTTGAGGATGCGAAAGACTCCAGCAAAAAGGAGGACTTGGCGTGCGACGTGCTGCTAGTGTGCGTCGGCAGAAGGCCGTACACGCAAAACTTAGGTCTGGAGGATATGGGCATTGAGAGAGACGAGAAAGGAAGAATACCCGTGAACAATCGATTCCAGACAGTAGTGCCTAGGTAAAATTACAAAATTTAAATTAGAAATTAAATGTCATTTTGCAATTTTAATTTTCTCCAATATACATATACCTGCAACGAAATATCTTATTGATTCCAAGTAACTGTTTTCATAATTAAATTCGCAGTATTTATGCTATTGGTGACTGCATTCACGGACCAATGTTGGCTCACAAGGCTGAGGACGAAGGTATAATTACAGTGGAGGGTATTGCCGGAGGTAATTTTCATTTGCATTTTAAGTATTGCTTATTAGCTTATCTTATTCTAAGCCAAAGATAAGGAAAAATCAGAAATTAATTTTGTATGTTGATTGAATAATTATTTAAATTTTATCATCCATCTTTGGCTCGATTACTGACCTTGTTGAACTTCTCATTGTTAAAAAAATCAGAAAGTAAAATGAATTTATTCCTCACATACAATACATGTCAGCAAGATATATACAATATTATTTCTCAATATAATTGCTCAACTTTGTAATATATTTTTTAATAGTCCACAAGTTATTCAGTCTACAAAAAAGGTTTTTGTCTGTCCAAGAAGCCACATATACCGTTTTCTAAATTCTAGATCAATAAAAATTAAACTTTTCACATTCAGTCAGGGCTTCAAAATTAATTCGGATTTAAAGTTATCCGAATATCCGTTTATCTGGCTTACGAATAAATGTGATGTTTCAAATTCGGATTATCCGGAGATTCGAATAGTAAAAGTTGAACCCAGATCCGGTTCTCAGATTTGGTTCTGGATTCGTGGCAAACTTATAGCGAATTCGGTTGGATGCATAGTGCGGACTGAGTGAATATTAAAGCCATTATACACTTATTTAATCTGAGTGTAAAAGTGAAATAAAATACTTCTCTTATTAGCTTTGAACATCTTTGTTATTATTAATTTAAGATTGAGAGTCTGTTCTAACCATTTATATTTATAAATAATATTAAATCTCATAGGACGTATATATGACAAACACAACCTAATAGAAACAAATACCTCTGTCTAGCTGGATCTTAAGTGTTTGTATAATTCTGTGCGAATTTATATTTATATTTTTTTTTTTAATTTAATTTTTCTTCAATTGTATGTGTGAATTAAAATTCAATTTTTATTATTTAAAAAGTAACTTATGCTAAAATTTATTAAATACGTCGATGTTTTCTTTCTTTCTGGGCATGAATCTAAATCCAAATTCAGATCCGCGGATCTGAATAATTCGGATATCCGAATATCTAGAGTTCCGAATACTTAGAAGCCCTAGTCTATAGCCTCTACTTTTAATTTTCATTTGTTTGGACCATTGAAGGAAATCCTGCGTGACCAGTAATAAATTCCAGTTGTCTTAGAGTTTAAGAAGCGATACATACGTGGCTTTAGTGGCACCCGTGCTTCGTAGACGGAATCAGAAAATTTATGACACAAAATGTGTTGCAAAGCTGGATTGGCTGAACGATTATATTGAGAAGTAACGTTGTTTATATTTTGCTAATATATATATATATATATATATATGAAGAATAAATAAATTCGCTTTACTTTTTAATTTCCCCTCATACAAATACGAATTTATTTTTTTTTTTTCGTTCGATATGATTAAATGTGGATTATTTCGTAATGCTTAGGCGCGGTTCACATCGACTATAACTGCGTACCAAGCGTTATATACACGCATCCGGAAGTGGGTTGGGTCGGCAAGACGGAGGAAGATCTGAAGAAAGAGGGTATCGATTATAAGGTCGGCAAGTTCCCATTCATGGCGAATTCCCGAGCGAAAACAAATCTCGAGACGGACGGCTTCGCCAAGGTACTCGCCGATAGCAACACAGACAAGATCCTGGGCGTACACATGATCGGACCGGCCGCGGGAGAGCTTATCAACGAAGCGGTTCTTGCAATGGAGTACGGCGCCAGCGCGGAAGACGTTGCCCGCGTATGCCATGCACATCCGGTAAGGATTTAATGTTAATTTTATTTTACATCAACCTCTTGTATATGATATCCTGGTATGATTAATTCTTTTGATAACTAAGCTTTAGACATTTGGAAATTTAATTTTTGTGCAAAAAGAATGAGTTAAAAATAATTCTCTTTTAATCTTTTTTAACAAGTCACATTACTCATTATACTTGACTGTTAATTCTTGCTCAAGTTGACTATAAACTTTTGGGAGGATAAATTTAAATAGAATTATTTTATCAAGTATGATTTTTATATTTTCTTTCTTTCAGACGTGCGCTGAAGCGCTCAGAGAAGCTCATCTGGCAGCCTATTTCGGCAAACCCATTAACTTTTAAGATCTTATAGAAAATAAGTGATTACACTTGTTAGTTCATATCGTGAATGCGTTCAACACTAAATGTGCCTGTCTCCAAACTTTACTGACAACGAGATAACTCGTTTCACGGACAGACATGTTTAAGCTCAATATGATGTATGATTTATGCGGCTCTTTTGACTTCACATCGTAGCCTGGATCTAGTCTACGTATCATCGTACATCGCGTGAACCATAGCGCGTCGTATAAGGGGTTACAATTGTAAATAAAAGCTGGAAACCATTACGCGGAGGTGTAACTTTATCTCTGCCACGTGATTATTTGTATTTATTACGAATAAATGAAAAAAATGCGGCATTATAATCTATTGGATTCTTCGAATCGAAAAGGAGATAAAGAGATACAAATGTAAATATAACATAGATAAGAGATAAAGAGGAGTGTATGAAATCAAAACGCACAGCAAAAAAAAATTCCTAAACAAATTATTTTACAGAAAATAAAGGATCTTCACGTATTATAGAAAACAGAAGAAAGCAAATTGTTTTTTTTCTTTTAATTTTATCGAGGGTCTTTATAAATTTTAATTCAAGTTAATCTTTTATATATTCCCAGAAAAAAAAACAATATTTGTTTAATTGCAATCGCAGATACATTTTGCATTTTTGATTATAAAAATATATAAAAAATAATACGATTTGATTATATCGTTCCAACGTTGTTTTTGCTTTCTTGGAATTTGTTTGTGTTGCTTGAAATCCCTAAAAATTTTCGCACTTAAAATATAAATATATATTCAAGCGTTGAAAAGAGAGAACAGAGTTAAAAAAGTGCAAGTAATAACAGACCTAAGGCCTGTCACTGATGTATAATCCAATCAGGGCGAAGAAAACTTCCAACAGTTGTAAAATAAACGTTTTGCTAAACGCGGCCATTGTCACGTTCTATGTACAGGAACACATGAGATATTTTTAAAGACCGACTTTAGCTGCATTTAGCAGAGAAAACTGATTAGTGATTTTTCAATATGATTGGTTCCTACACTTAGATTCAGTGAAGAACTAAAGACAAGAATCAGTCTTATTAAAGAATCATTGAGCGCTCGCTGATTAGTTTTCTCTGCTGAATGTAGACATTCTTACAGGAATTGGCCTACCCTCCACATTTGCTTACCTGAATTTAATGAGTGTCTTGAAGTCGAAACTTCCATCTGTTCTTCAGGCAGTATTGTATTCATCGCAGTACCTGGCGTCATTGCAGATTCATCAAGACCTGAGATAGTAAACAAATTATTAATATATTGTGTAATGCTGCACGATAGCCAATAAAAAATCATAATAATAATAATAATACTCTTGATTACTGAAGAAGCTTATACTTGTATACCTTCGCTGATTGATGATCCTAAATTCAGCGTGGGAATTGCATCAAATTTTAATTTTCTTTTCTGTGGCGGTGAATAACCTAAAAGGGGTCGCATCCATGAAGACTCTTTGTATGCTACTGCATCAAAATGGGCGGAACAGATGCGTCCTATATGTATAAAATGTGTTATTTTCATTGTACGAGTCTGTGTGTAAGCAAGGATGTATTTTATACATACCATTTTTAACGTTGACATTTTCTTTTCCACACGCTTCTTTCCACTTTACTATTAACGACTTCTCTTTTGGGAAGCGATAAAAATGTACATTTCTGAATTCTTTTTTTCGATGATCATTTTTGCAGGTTTTTACTTGACAAGTACTCATTTTGGTTTCTCGAGCTGTCACTTAAAAATTACCGTGGTGGAAATGTTTAAATTTGCCGCATTTGGATAGTCCGTTTCATTACTCTCGCGCGTGTTTATCCATGAAACTGTACACAGTGCAATGTGCAAACATCATATCCCTTCTACCATGATTGAGCTCGAATCCACCACCAGGCACCACCACGCTCCAATCGGCGTCTCGTTTAACTACACTCGTTTTGTTTGGTCTTGTTGTGAAATAAATTAATCTTAGTCTTAGCTTTTTGATCGCGGCGGATTAATTTTCTTCGGTAAATATCAAAGAGTTCGAGAGTAAAGAGTTAAACGCGGGATTTTCATATCTATTGAGGCGAGTTAGGTAAAGGTTAAATTCCCTTCGATTATTCTTAGACTAATCTTGTATCCTGATTCAACTCTACGGTGGCAGAATTGCCAAGGCCAGATTAAAATTTCATTCCGGGAAGAATATGAGGTATGTATCAGTATTCTCTTCAACGAATATAAATATATCTGTCCTCGTAGTGACGCTCATGAACTTCCATTCGGCGTAGATAACCTCAACATGAGCTACAACAAGAAGGTGGCGTATTTTTACAACCCGGAGGTGGGTAACTTCCACTATGGACCGGGTCATCCCATGAAGCCACACCGGTTATCCGTGATTCACAGCCTCGTACTCAACTATGGCCTCCACAGGAAGATGCAAATTTATCGGCCATACCGCGCCAGTACCCACGACATGTGTCGCTTCCATTCGGAGGACTACGTGGAGTTCTTGCAGCGGGTCACGCCACAGAATCTACAAGGTTACACCAAGTACCTGAGTCACTTCAACGTTGGAGATGATTGTCCTGTGTTCGACGGCCTTTTCGATTTTTGCTCCATGTATACCGGCGCTTCATTAGACGGTGCTACCAAGTTGAACAATAATTGCTGCGACATCGCCGTCAACTGGAGCGGCGGTCTGCATCATGCCAAGAAATTCGAAGCGTCCGGCTTCTGTTATATTAACGATATCGTGATTGCTATATTGGAATTGCTTAAATACCGCGCCCGGGTGCTGTACATCGACATTGATGTACATCACGGAGACGGCGTACAGGAAGCCTTCTACTTAACCGATCGTGTCATGACTGTGTCGTTTCACAAGTATGGCAATTACTTTTTCCCTGGTACTGGCGACATGTATGAGATTGGTGCTGAGAGCGGCCGTTATTATTCTGTAAATGTACCATTGAAAGAAGGAATTGATGATACGTCATACATTCAAGTTTTCAAGCCTGTCATATCCCACGTGATGGAATTCTTCCAGCCGACAGCGATAGTGCTTCAGTGTGGTGCCGATTCCCTTGCAAATGATCGACTCGGCTGCTTCAGTCTCAGCACAAAAGGGCACGGCGAGTGCGTTAAATTTGTGAGGGATTTGAACGTACCACTACTGACTGTTGGTGGCGGTGGTTACACATTACGAAATGTTGCTAGATGCTGGACGTATGAAACGTCTCTGCTTGTAGACGAACAAATCAGTAATGAGCTCCCATATACAGAGTACTTGGAGTATTTCGCACCAGACTTCACCCTACATCCCGAGGTCGTAACCAGACAGGACAATGCTAACAGTAAGCAGTATCTTGAAGCAATCACGAGACATGTGTGTGACAATCTCAAAATGATTCAACATTCACCGAGCGTGCAGATGCAGGACGTTCCGTGCGATGCATTACCACCCGAAGAGGAAAGGCAACCAGAACCAGATCCGGACTCTCGACAGAACCCACAGGACACAGACAAGATTGTCGAACCAGCGAATGAGTATTACGCCGGCGACAAAGATCAAGATAAAATGGATGCGAACGATTCGTGATAAAGACAGTATTATAGTTTACGAGGGCGTGCAAATGATTTCTCGAATTTCCTATAAAGTTCAATAGATCCAGTAGAATCCAGATTTGGGAATTTTTTTATTAATTTCATGATTCAGCAAACAAAGAAACTGCCGAGATTATATCTTTTCTATGACTGATTCTAAGACAATAGATGTTATTGTGCAATTATTGAATTTTTTTATTTTCGAAACTACTGATGTATGTAATAAGACGAACGAGCGTTGTTTATGTAATGTAAGGATGCGCGATACGCGTATTGATATGTTAAAAATTGTTTGAAAATTGACCTTTTGATGATAAAGGAATGTTTTTTTTTTTTTACAAAAAGATCGGTTTAAAATAGCCTTAAAGGCGATTTTCAGCCTCTATTTTGCAAAAATATCGATTTTTTTTACACATTAATACGCATATCTATACACGTATCGCCCATCCCTAAGGTAATGTATACTTTTTAAGTACGACGCAAAAGTGTAAATATGAAAACTGTACAGACTGATTTATACTAATGACGAAAACAAACATATTTTACTCAAATAAATTTTGCAAAGACTTGGGACAAATTTGTAAAATACACCCATATTTTAGATAATCGAGTCGTTTATCTGATATTCAGAGAAGGAAAAATTTCTTCATTGAAGAAAACGATATGCGATACGATTACTCAGGATACCTGGATCTTAAATATCCATTAGGCAAGTTTATTGTTTTACATCAGACAGCAATATCCGTATTGTCTACAATGATACAACGACGGTGAGGACGATATTAATAGCGATAGTATAATAATAATAGTAATAGCAATAACGATAACGTATCTCTGTCTCGGGGCTATCTTGCTATATCACAGAGAACTTAATCTTCGCACGACATAATTGTTCCTTCTAGAGCTCTTTCTTTTTCCTTAACAAGAGTAGAAACGTAAAATGATTCACTCGGCGGCAGGGTTGGTAAAGACTAATTTTTTTTTTAAGAATAAGACATACTGTGTTTCTCCTTAAACATGTTTTTAATGTTTCAAATATGCTTTAAGCAGTACTAGAAAAAAAAAACATATTTAAAACATATTAAAAATGTCAATTTAGCATGATTTAAACTATTAAAATACGTTTAAAACATGTTTTTTACCAACCTTGCTCAGGGGTATGGAGTAGGGGGGGAGGGGACGGACCTCTCCGCTTGGTAAGAGCACTAAAATGCGACTAATTGCAATAAATTAGATCTCTTAAATTAAGGCGCTTTGTTCTGTACATTCGTATTTTGTAAACTCTACAAAAAGTCTCTCGAAAAATAATACACGTACAAAAATATTCGGTACGAGAGGAACACAAATACTCGATTTCCGATTTCTTTTTTGCAAGAACGGTGCAAAAGACTACGATGTAGAGGCAATGCGTGTGTACTCTTCGTGAACGCATAACGTCGAACTTTACCTTTGAGGAACACCACGTGCGGTTATTCGCGACTATTTTTGTCTGCAGAAAGCTACCCGCGAAGCTTACAATTACTTGGTTCCTCTTTCTCATTCGACATACGAAAGATTCTTCCCAAATTCGCTTGTGCTCTACAAAGCGCATACATCACATATGCATGTGTACGTGTACATATATATGCATATATATATAAAAGTTTTCAGTCTCATAGTAACGGCAATTCCATTTGGTGTTTGGTCTTCCATCGAACTCTTTGCATATACTCCAGCGGCTCGTACATTCTTCGATTCGAAATTATATACAACGCGTAGGGGGAATATAATTAGGTAGGCAGTGCTGATTCAGCGATCCTTGACAAATCTTTAGAATCTTTCTTGCAGCATAGCTTCCTTCTTCATCATAAAATTTGCTTGACTAGATGCTATTGTTCTCTCTCGCTCGCCACACAACGCCGAGCGCATTCAACAGTAGCACATGCCACCTGATAGAGGCAATGAAACAGTGATCAATTACGTTTCAAAGTGCTTGTAAATGCTAGTCACATATGTCATGACTTGCTGCCAATCAGGTCGCTCGAGTTGACACATTTCTCCGATATTCTGTGGAAAGAATAATTTATATTACTTTCATAAGAGAGCGTATTCGTAATAGAGCTAGATATATTAGAATCTTTATTCAGTCAAAGTGGATCTTGCTCAATAATATTTTTATGTAAATTTTAAATACATTTTTCAGTTCTATAAATTACGCACTGATTTGATTGTTAGACTTGTGTTTAAAAATTTATGTCAATTTTTACGTAGAAATATTCTTAAAATCTGCAAAAAACTTTTAACCGAATAAAGGCTTTTTTCTCTTATTTATGTTATTCATTTATCGGTCTATATTTTAATTTATTAATTAGATGTATAATTGGAAGATTGAAATATGATCTTATAAATTATTTTAATGCGTTATTGTATTATATGTATATCTTTATGCGTTCAAGAATAATTTGTCAGTTAACTTACCAAGGTAGTTGGTATGCCAACACTCTCGGCAGCAGAGAAGGCGATCGAGAAGTTCCGCCGCTTTTCGACCGGTGTCAACGTGTCGTACGGTACCTTTCGCGGCAAATAGGAATGCAGAATCGCGCACAACGCTAGGCCATCATTCCAGGAACTGCTGAAGTTAGTTATATCAATATTTCGATAGCCTATCGTTTTATTTTGACACCACTTGAGCAAGGCGTTGCGCTTGGATCCACCATTCTTGACTAAGCCAAACAAGGGATCTTTACGCTCCGACAGATCGGTAACGCTATTTCGACGTACGAAGTCGATCGCCTTGGCATTCAAAGCGGCTGAATCCAACAGCTCACCCGGACTCAAAACCACAGGCGTTGACTTTGTCTCTGCGCGTCAACAATCAAAGCATACGATTAGGTATCAAGAATCTCCCATTCTAAAATGCATGATTAGCTTTATATGATTATCTTTGATCGTACAAACATTTTAAGTTTGCGAGATTTTAACTGATAATTACCTGATACTGGTTTCTTTGTAATTGTAGATTGCGTTTTGTTGTTATTTGTCGAATTCGCCGTGCAAATTAAATTGTTGATTTGCTGTTGGTCCCTGAGAGGAGCTTTCAAAGATATGATATCTGTAGTTCCAATAGAATTTAAAGACGATGTAGAACTGCTACGACTTCCAGGTCCTAAAACGTAAAATCAGTTATTTTCAAAATATATAAGGAAACGGCTTAAATGATTAAAAATAAAATATACAAAAACAAGAGCTACGAGCCAAACATAATACATTTTATCTGTTATTTCACATCACAGTTTCAAGTAAAGTGTTGTGGACAATGTATATTGACAATTGTTTATCTCTAAAATTGTGTGATCATTTACCGGCTTTAGCTTGTTTTGTGGCATTTTCGATGCTCTCGATCAGACACTTTACAGAAAGCCTGGAGTCCTGACGCGAAATGTTTGCTTTCCTACGAGCAGCGATCTCTTGTTGCACACTTGTCAGCACGGATTGTTGAGTCTCCGTCGGTGTGCTAGCTGGCTTTGTAGGCGGTTGTTGTATCACTTTTTGGTTAGCTGAAAGAAATTTCCAAGTACTCATTACAGCACTCAGCGAATCGCCATATACAAATAATTCCTCGAAGAAATGATAAGAAAGCAATAAGCCATAAATGTTTGTACATAAAATAAAGCACAGGTAATCGGTAAGTAATATACTTGGACGATTTCGAAAGTCTTCTTAATTCATGATGGAAGATGGCACGTTCATACGGATTAATTCAGTGAGGACGATACAATTTCATGATAGAAACAATAAGTGAATATAAGCGTATAAAGATATCGAGAATTCGAGAAACACAAAGAAAGCTGAGTTAACAGTTAACCAGGAGACAATATGAGCGGCACAATGTAAGTGCTAGCAATGCGAAGATACGCCAGTCTCGTATTCTTTGCTTAGACTGAGGAATCGGGACGGACAATAGATTGAATTTTTGCGATACAAGCGAATTTCCCACATTAAGAGAGCGACTTACGGTCGCAAGATTCGCTCATTTGCTGTCCCGACAGCGTCTTCAATTCCACGTCCTCTACGATCGTTTCAAATTTTTCTCTTAAGGATGACATCCGTCCTATCGATGGGGGTTGATCCGACCCCAAGTCCTTAGGTTTCTCGCTCTTCATGCGAAGGTTACTTTCGGAAAAAGTCGTTTTCTCGATCTGAGAATCGTCTTCGCCTGCATGTATGCTACTTTGCAGGAATTTTATACGATTTAATTGATTTGTCTCGCTTAGATTTGAATATTTTGATTCTTGTAACAGTTCCGTACATGCCGAAGAGGTGGCTTGTTTTTCTTGGTTAATGGAATATTTTGAGATCAACTCCGAAATCTCCGTTTCTTTCTCTGAAAGATTATTCAAAATTGATGTGCCTGATGAAATAACTGGAATCGAATGATATCTAGATTTATACTCGATTTCTGAGGGCGTTAACAACGGATATGATTTCCATTTCATTAGAGGAGTGCTTAATATATCATGAGAACTCTTTATTTTCTCCGATTCATTATTTATATTCTTCATTAATCTCGGTAATTTTATTTCGATATTTTTATCAGATGAGTTTGATATTTTTGATTCCCCAAGCATGTCAAGAACTTTTTTATCCTCTGACGTAGCATGAAGAGACAGACATTTTGTCGCAGTTTGATCATTATTATTGCACAATGTTTCTCCTTCTATTGTTTCATTTTTTACACAAGACTCTTTTGTTAAAAAAAATTCATGATCCTCATATTTCATTCCTTGTGATTTTTCTTCGTTTTCGTGTGTTCTATGACGATTGTCAAGTTCAGCTAATGATTCAGCATAATTTCTAATTTGTGATTCTGCAAGCGTTTTTGATTGCGTTGTTTCAGTCAAGGTAGAGTCAATTACTTCGCAGCTCGGTTTTAATTCAGATCTTTTAAAAATCAACTTTTGCCTTTGCTCAATCCTATCGCTTTCTTTTGATATTACACACACGGAATCTGAAAGCGATTTTATATTTCTAAGGTTTGGATCTACACGTAGTTTCGTCGAGTTGCTCGACTCAGTCGAAGTTTCCGCTGTTGCTGTTGTATTATCTAGAGAAGGCAAACTAGTGCTGACTTGCCGATTGCTGTAACTTCTCTGCAACACCCTTCCCATTTCCGGATCGACCTCGAACTTCAGGTCATTCAATACGCTGTCCACACCAGAAAATACATAATCTTTGGGTAC